CTGTTGACAGCACCATACGAGAGGGGAGACCACTTGCCCAGGTTGGAATGGCTGGAAAATGTCCGTGTGGGACCCCAGGTGACTGGGTCACGTCAAGACTTCAAGACTTGTTCCCAGAGCCCTGGAGGTCACACGCTGCTGAGGACACACACCTGCTATCTTAGCACTAGGGAGCAAGGTGGGAGGACAGGACGTTCTTGAGTTCAAGGCCACCCTGGGAGAGAGGAAGAGCCTGTCTAAAAACAAAACATCCTGTTTCTTCCTGTTGTTCCATGCCCATACTACACTTTTCTGAGAAATTGGAATACTTTGTTTTGTTTTTGTTTTTTTGACACTCTGTAGACCAGGCTGGCCTCGAATTCAGAGATCTGCCTGCCTGAGTGCTGGGATTAAAGGCGTGTACCATCACTGTCTGGCATTTAATTTTTTTATTATTGTCTTGAAATACTTATTTTTTTATTACACATATTTATTGGGGGATGGCATGCATGTGCTGTTGTGCTCGGGTAGAGATCAGAAAACAACTTGTTGGAGTCGGCTCTCTCCCTTCCAATACCTCGTGGGTCCTGGGATTGAATTTAACAGCAAGTGTCTTTACCCACTGAGTCCTCTTGTGACTCTGGAGTGCTTTTTGTTTCTGTCCTTCATCTGCCGGAGGCCCCTAGAGGTATCACTGTCAATCCCTTTTACAGAACTGACGGAGGACGCTGCCCAGGGGGTAAGGGCTGTGCCCGGCTAGGCAGTGCTGATAACTGGAGGCTGAAGTTTCTGTAGCTCCACTTCAGGGTTCTCAGGCAGCCCTCAAGTCTACCTGGCAGCAGCAGGCGAGGTGCTATTCTGGGGTGACCACTCCAGTGAGAAATGGGCATCCAGTGGAAACAGAAGAAGAACCAGCGGGGGGGCCCTCTGAGCCAGATAGAGACCTTGCTGTGCTGATAAACGGCCCCATAATTTGCTAGCGCTGCCCTGCCACCATGCTGATGGCTAAAGGAGCTTTCTCCCTACAGGGCTGGAACTGCAGCCTCGGGATCCTGCCATAATGCAGTAATGACAGGCTGCCAGGGAGCCCCACACGGCAGGCGGGGAGGGGCGGGGGAGAGCCCTCTTGCTGGAGAGGATGTCTGGGCTGTCTGCAGGGAGACAGAGAGGTGAAGACAGTGACTTTCTCTTCTCCAGACTGCAAGGGATTGAACCAGACAAGGTTGCAGCGATTTACTGCCTTCAGAACCTTCTGCCCTTCTAGACCTGGGTTCCCAGCTCTTCATTACAGGTGGGACTCCTAATCTGATCCTCCCCATGAAGGCTTCTGGGACACTCAGCTCCAGAGGGCAGCTGCCAGGTACTTCCCACTCAAGAAGCACAGGCAGAGGAGGAAGTGCTGGCTGGGAGACCGCAGTGACAGCAGTGGACACCACAATGAAGGACCAAGGTCCAAGCTACCTGGAGTTGCCATCATAGGCCAGGACAACTGAAAACACTAGAACTTGGGCAATCTGTTCCACACCACGATGCCAGGCAGAGCCTGTCATTCCATACCAGATGAACACCTGTCATTTCAGCACTAGAGTGAGCAAGGCAGGACTGGGAGATGGGGACAGTCTGGACTACATAATGTTTCAAAATAATGGAACTATCAGCCAATACTGTCAGTTCCAGCTCTGCTTGATGGAGACGCTAGGCTGACAGTGTGAGCACTTTGGGCTACTGGGGTCTTTAAAAAGTCAGGTAAAAATACTGCTTAACATGACCAGTATATAGAGAGCAATTTCTCTGCTTTGACTGTGAGGAATTCAGGCCCCTCCAGTTATTAGGACTAATAATCTATACGCAGGAAACTTGTATTTAAATTGATCCAATACAAAATAGCACGCCTGAAGCCCCGAGTAGGACCCCCAGCACCACATAAATTAAGAGTGGTGTGGCTGACTGTAGTCTCAGTACTGGGGGTGGGGGTGGGGAGACAAGAGGAACAGGAGTTCAAGGTCATCTTCAGCTGTTTAGTGAGACTAAGGGTAGCTTGGGATACAGGAGACACATCTCAAAAAAAAAAAAAGTTTTGCCAGGTGTAGTGGCATATACTTTTAATCCCAGCATTCAGGAAGCAGAGGCAGGTGGATCTCTGTGAGTTTGAGGACAGTCAGGGTTACATAGTGAGATCCTGTCTCAAAACAGTGTGGCGTAAACTGGGCATAGTGGTGCACACCTTTAATCCCTGCTCTCAGGAGGCTGAGGCAGAGGCGGGCTGATCTCTTGAGTTCAAGGTCAGCCTGGTCTACAGACTGAGTTCTTGGATAGTCAGGCCAGAAACTCTGTCTTGAAAAGCCAAACAAACAAAACAAAACCAATACCACCACAAAATACCTCCTCAAAAAAGTGTGGTTTAATCAGTTATGCTACCATTGCCAAAACTTTTATAATTCTGTTATAACTTTATCCCAAAATAGTATTTAACTCAGACCCTGGGAAATGTGCATCCAGGCACGCATCACCCAGTGATTACGGAAATGCAGTGTTAGGGTCTCACTGTCTCGTGATGGCACAGCACACTCACACAGGGCGCCAGTCATCAGGCTACACAGCATAATGACTTAGTTTATTTTGGGGACAGGCTAGCCTCAAACTTGTAATCCTCCTGCCTCAGCCTCCTGAGAACTATATAGGTGTATGCCATAGAGTATTTGTGTATGAGTGTCCTGCCTGCAAGCATGTGGCTCAGCAATTAAGAGCACTTGCTGCTCCAGGACCCCCAGGTTAGTTCCCAGCAACCACATGGTAACATACAACCATCCGCAATTTCAGTGCTGGGGGTCTGATGTCTTCTGACCTCTGTGGGCAACAGACATACATGTGGTGCACATATATACATTCAGATACAATATACCGAAAACAAAAAGCTAAAAAAAGTTAGGACACTAATGGTAGATTCTAGCAGCTTAGAATTTTTATTAAAACAATCACTTAAATTACAATCACCCCCACCCCAAATAGAAAACAGCTTCATGGTCTGGGCCCACAGGAATGACACAGGCCTCCCAGGAAAAGCTGTTTAATAAGAAAACAGAGGAACGGAAGCCGGCAGGCGCTGGCTTGGCCTCAAGGCACCTGGGAGAGGCTGCACACCCCAGCCCCACGTCGTGAAGGCGCTTGCCCCAGGGGCTTTGAGGCTCTGGCCCTGCTGGCAAGGATAGTTAGTCACTGCTGTTGGCTGGCAGCCTCTGAACTTTTTTGAAATCTGTCTACAAGATGATAAAACAGTAAATCAAGTAGTGCTATGTACATCCACGGGTGTGGTTTAGCAAGGCCTGGCAAGTACACAAGAATTCAGCAGTGACCTCGGGTCAGAGTGCTGCTGTGGCTAAGGTATGGCCTCAGTGTCCTGCACTGAGCAGTGACTGTTTCAGCATCACGGTACCTCTACCTGAGCCACTGAAGCTAGAAATGAAACAGCCAAAGTTGGCCACTTCCCTTGGACTTCAGAGATGTCCTCCCTTGACTGTAAAACTGCCTACCATGAATAACTCAGCTGCAGGCTCAAAATGGGTACTGCTTTCAGTCCTCCTCTACTGGGGCTGGTGGTGCTTTGGGGACCCCAGCTTCTCTCTCCAGGGACGCTCAGGTACTCATGAGTGAGTGGGTTTTGGGCCCCATCCACCAGGCAATGGTTACACCTGCCACTGCTCAAATACCAGGGCTCCCACGTGGTTATGTAGCTTGGCATTCCCCAAATTTGGGATACAAACAGTAAACTAAAAACAAGGCCTGACATAGTTTTTATAAACCAGCATCCTGTGACCCACAGCCATTGTCAAAGATTAAATTCACAGAGAGGAAGAAAGTCAGTCCTGGAGGAAATTCAGGCATGGGCTTCAGGTCCGAAAGACAGCTCAACATCAGAGCCATGGCAAACTTGACAAATGTCAGCATGTCAAGTCTGGAGGACTTTCCCTCAGCCTTAGGTTCTAGACTAGAGTCCTAGTCCCAAGGAGGCTAGGGTGACACTCAGGGGTGCCTAACTATGGCAAAGTGGCCAGATGGGTGGCCAGGCAGTGGAAACAGAGTAGAGTGCCTCAGTTTCTCAAAACCAAATTGTACTGTGGAGCATACCTTGGCTCCCAGTCCCTTGACTCAGCTGCCTTCAGTGAACAGACATCTTTTCATGGACTGAGGCATATTACATGCCCTGTGAGGACCTAAGGGTCCCGACTGGCCACAGGAGTGACACCTATTCCAAAAAGGCAGACCTAACCATGGAGTGTACGAGCCACATGGCGTGCACCTGCTGCCCAGCATGGAGCAACCCATAGGGTTAACACATGAGACCACTGACTGTGAGTGGACACCTCTGTCAGGCTCAGGGAAGACAAGGGTGATAGGGCCTAGGTATCAGAGAGAGCTGGGCAGAGCGTGATGGGACGGGCAGCAGAACTCTGGAGGTCCATGTACTGAATGGGGTAATGGAGGCCGTGGTCACTGATGGGAAAGTGACCAGGAAACCCCTGGCATAGCACAGGCAAGTGACCGAGCCTGAAGGCAGTCATGATCCCCGCATGGGCTCCTTCAGCTAGCCAGCAGCCTTTCACCACAGCTCCTATCGTAAGCCTGCCTCCTGCCATTAGACAGCTACAACACGGTCTCAGGGGAGCCTGGCTAACGAACCCTCTTTGCTGGCTCTAAGCTCAGTCTGTCCATGCTCCTGCACTGTGTCAGGTCCTCACTGTGGAGGGGGGGGGGTACATCTTAGAACCAGTGGGGCAGTGGGTAGCACCAGTATGGTAGACTTTAGGCAGCCTCCACACTGGAATCCTAAAGTCACTTCCCAAACCAGGTTCTGGAGTCAGCAGCAGGCACTGGACACTCACACCACAGTGCCTAGAATGTGGGAAGGATGGCATCCATGTACAGCAACAATTACTTCTAAAAAAAAAAAAAAGAGAGAGAGAGAGAAAAGAAAAAACAAAGAAAAGAAGATGCAGACCAGGAGAACTAAAACACCTTGAGAGATCTCTACAGGGCCAAAGTTCAAAACCAACTGCACACGAAGAGGACTGGGCCCTCTACTCAAGAGAGTTCCCAAACAAGCCAGGCCCCTATTGATGGTTCCCACGGGGTCAGGCCCATCCTGTGGCTGTCAGCAGAAGTGGCAGTTCCTGAGGTGGCCGGGTCACTGCTAAAGTTCTTCAAAGAAGGCCACTCGGGACTTGGCGCTCTGCAGAGTGAGCTGTAAGAAAGAAGAGAGAAGCTGAGAGGGGCTCTGGGATTCACAGCCCAGCCCATCTTGCTGCAGGGCAACAGAGAAGCATGTCCAAATAGATGTTCAAGATACTGGTGGTCAAACCCGGATAAAGGTGCAGATTGACCCCAGGATTCAAATGTAAATGACACGCCAGAAAGGATGGCTGGTGGGCAGACACACCGCACCGCACTGCAGCAGGTACATCTGTCACACAACCTCCTCCCAGAGGAAGGAGTCTATTTGTGATTCTCATGTTTCTTCTGGCTCCGAAACACCGACTCTCGTCCTGTGCTATCTGGAGTGCACCAGCTTCTCTGGGCTGAGGCCCAGGCTGGCACTACAAGTCTTACACCTAGGCAAGGCGCATGGCGTCAGGCAAGGAAGGCCTGTGTCAGATGGAGAGTGTTCTCTCTGCTCTAGATCAGGGCAACTTCAAAGCAGGCCTGCCCATGGCCTGGAAGCCAAGAGGCAACAGATCTTCGTTCTCCACAAGACCGGTTACCCCAGTGTCTCCCAGGAGGATACCACCCAAGAAAATGGAGAAGGGGAGCAGAGACAGACACACCTCCCTCTCCACTCCCAGCCTCTCTGACAGACACATTGGCACAGGCACCGATTTCAAACTACTTCTGAAATAGAGCCCTGGGGCAAGATTCTATGTTCCTGATGCAGCCCAGGGCTTCCCAGAAAGGGATGTGTCAGTAACTACACTGTCCATCTTCATCCCCCAAAACATTTACCTTAGAGCTTGGCTCTGAACGAGAGAACAGACTAGTTATTGAGTGGATGGAATGGGATATGGGCCACAATTGTAACTAAATGGGAGACACAAGGTTGTTTCCATTCCAGCTCACTGTGTGGCTTCAGTAAACACCCTTGATATCTCTGAACCTCACTCCTCTGGAGGTAAGCCACAGGGCAGGCTACCTGGTCTGGTCCTTCCCTGGGCCTTGGGTAGTCTCTGAGTCTGAAGAATCTGCAGTACTCACCAAAGCTCTACAAAGGGCAGGAGAGGGAGACTGAGCCCACCTCAGCATCAAAAGACAGGCAGCATCAGTGTGCTCAGAATGAGCCAGCTTGAGAGCCGACTCTCTAAATCCTGCCAAATCTTTTGGCCTTGAAGTTCCCGACTAACAAGCTGAATGCAAGGAGGCATCTGAGCTGTTTTCTTCAGCAGAACCAATTCCAGAAGCTCTATAGAAGCCCAGTTCTGCCAGGAATGGAGAGGGCTTTTCTTTGTTGAGGCAGAACACCCTCTAGACGGGAACTGCGTTTGGCTCGGTTTCTCCACAATGGCAGAAGAGAGGGGACAGTGCGTGTGTGCCCTGTGATAATGGGGACCAGTAAAGGAGAGGAAGGAAGATGCCAGAGATCTAGGACAAAAATCTCCCCTGGGGAAGCTTTAAATCAAAAGGTGTCCCCACACTTCTAGGACAACCTTAGGAGATTTCTTAGCATAAGGAGCCTGCAGGCAGGGACAAGACATACCCACAACCACTTCCAGTGAAATCTAAGTACAGTGAGACTTAAGGATCTGTCTGTGCAGTGACCAGGTCACAAACCTGCTGGCCTAAGTTCCCAATGGTGACACAGGGCAATGCAGCCCCTTCTCAGGGTGACAGAGAAAATACCCAGCACCGACCTGGTTTATACTGAGAACTCTTCAGCTGTCACCTAACTGTGGTGTCAAAGCCCTTCTAGGGGAAGCAAATCAGAGCAAAACCCTAGTTAGATAAGATGCATTCAGAAGAAGGACCACAAACTAACTGTGCCAGCCTCTGAGCCAGGACAGACATTGCCCTGAGAGGCCTGGCTACTTCCCCAGGCAGGACGCCCAGGCTGTGGGGGCCTCTGAAAGTCTCTTGCCTGTTTCCACAATGTTGGCTCCAAGAATTCCTGGATCCACTATCCAAGCATGTTGGCTGTCCCCTCAAGGTGCTTGGGGAGGGTTTTGGCAGCATCCGATTTCAGGTACTCAAGCATGTACTTGTTAGGATGCAAAGCTCTCTTTTTGGGAAGCTGCTTCTACCAGAGCCCCACCAGTGCTGCACTGCAGGGTAAAACGACCCAAAACGAGTCTGTCCTTAGGACGGAGGAAAGTACAGGCTGAGAGCAGCCAATACTGCAATAGCATGTGGACGAGCGGCCTTTCAGGAGCCCCAGGGCCGAGACGTTCACGGTGCAGGGTAGCTGAGAGCCTCCTGTGGTCATCGCCCATTTCGAAGGGAGGCCTGACTGCCATTACCTCACATTCTACCCTTACCATACAGTTCCTGGCACTTCTAACTCCATCAGGAAACCCAAAGTCTGACGAATTTATAGCATGTGCTCACTTCCCACTACGGGAATGCTTCCAGCGGCCACCCTTGACAGCTTGTCCCTCAGCAGCACCCTCTATCTTAGAACATCAAATGCCCTCCTTCCGGCAGGACCGAGGGCAGAGCTCATGCAGGAGGCAGGCAGTGGTTCAAGGGTATTCGGGCGGAAGTCTTGAGCTTCTTCTTTAGTATATGTTCAAGGAACCCATGAAGGAGGCATTCCAGAGCCCAAAAAGCCCTTGTTTTGGGGCACTGCTACCTGTTTCTGTCGACTGCGCTCCTGGTTAGGCACTCTGTGGGCAAGCTACCCCCATGGGATCTATTGTTACCTGCTCTCTCTGACATAGGTAGGGCTCATCCTAGAAAGTTGGTTACCACACTACAAGTAGGAGAGGCTCATGAAAGAAAAAATGCAGGTTCAGAGGAAGTGGAACATTGCTTTAGCCCTCCTTCATAATACCAGTCAAAAAATTTCCTGGGGCCGGGCGGTGGTGGCGCACGCCTTTAATCCCAGCACTCGGGAGGCAGAGGCAGGCGGATCTCTGTGAGTTCGAGGCCAGCCTGGTCTACAAGAGCTAGTTCCAGGACAGGAACCAAAAGCTACGGAGAAACCCTGTCTCGAAAAATCAAAAAAAAAAAAATTTCCTGGGTTTCTTGTGAAACTCTCACATCCAAAAGTCCATGAGCCCACAGCAACACTTGGGCTGTCTTGTTGATCAGTGATAGGGTTGGATCTCTATGCACAGCACAGCAACATCTCTGCTTGTAAGATCCAAAGAGTGCCATGGAGACAACTCCACTAAGGTTCCAGCCTCAGCAGGGCATGGTGGCACAGAGGCAGGAGGATCTCTGAGTTCAAGACCAGCCTGGTTCACAGAGATAGATCCAGGACAGGCAGGGCTACACAGAGAAACCCTAACTTAAAGAAACAAACAAGCAAAAAACCAAACCAAAAGATTCCAGCCTCATTTCCTTTCACAGGAGCCTTATAACAAGTCACACCGAGTTGAGATTTGAACCCACCCAAGTCCCAGCCCACCAGCAGAATCCCAGCCATAACGTTCATACGCAGTCTTAGGCTGTGGAGGTGGGGTGCATAATCCCAGCTATAGTGTTCACATGTGCTTTGGCTGTGGAGGTGCATCCCTTCAATGTGGGGTGCAGAATCCCAGCTCCAGAGTTCAATACATACCCTTTGGTTGTGGAGACAGACATCTTGAATGTGGGGTACAGGTTCTGCTCATACCACTAAGATACCTGGGAGACTGTCTGGGCAACGAGAGTTCTCTAGTTCATCAGGTTAGTAAAGCTGAGATGCTCAGGACATGGATATGCCCAGGTCCAGTACTCCATGCTGGGACCTGCCTTCTATGAGCACGTGCTGACCAATGACCATTCTGCTATGCAAAGTCCTTCAAAACTCACAGCAGATCCAGACAAGGTCAGCCACAGGATCTGGACAGTCAGACCTGGCTGTCTGGGAAGGCTGGAAACCATGAGGAACCAGCTCCCTGAAGACGACTAAAGAACACGTGGCCTCCTCACCAGGCCCTAGGCTGACTGCTGCTCTCTTTAGCTGTCTTCACATCTGATTGGCATCAGCCCTGTGGATACACAGGAGGAATTAAGTTCTCTCCTGTTGGAACTGGCCGTTAGTCTGTCACTAATCCAATTCCAATCCGAAAAGACCAATGTCCTTTTCTTTCTCTGCAGCAGGTCTTCGTGGCTTTGTTTTTATCCTATAGGTCCCTGGTCTTCCTTTCCACCTCGACACACACACACAGGCCCTAGAATAAGTACCTACCCACCAATGACCAGGCTGTGGAAGGCCCCTTTCTGTTATGTGACAAAAATGGACAAATCATCAACTTTAAACAATCTGGATTTGGGAGATATATCTGTCTTCTTAAAAAGACAGGAGTGCCGGGGCTAGAGAGATGGCTCAGAAGTTAAGAGCATTGACTGCTTCTTCCAGAAGTCCTGAGATCCATTTCCAGCAACCACATGGTGGCTTAAAACCACCTGGATTGAGATTTGTCTGGTGTCATCTTCAGGCCTGCGGGGACACATGCAGGCAGAATACTGTGCACACACTAAATAAATTAAATCTTTTTTTTTTTTTTTAAAAAAAGACAGCGAGCAATGGTGGCTCATGTCTTTAATCCCAGCACTTGGGAGACAGAAGCAGGCAGATCTCTGTGAGTTCAAGGCCAGCCTGGTCTACAAAGCGAGTTCTGGAACAACCAGGACTGTTACACAGAGAAACCCTATCTCAGGGGTTAAAAAAAAGAAAAAGACAGGCATGCCAAGCATAGTGGACACACCTGTGATCCCAGCACTTATGGGTAGAGGCAGGAGCTTGAAGCCAGGCCAGCTAGAACTACACAGCAAGACCCTATTTCACCAAACCAAACCCAAACAAATAAACAAAAGACAACAGGCACACTGGCACATTCCTGTACTCCCAGGATTCAGGAGGCTAAGACAAGAACATCCTAAATAGTAAGGTCAAGGCTAGCCTGGACAACATAGGCCCTGTCCTAGAAAAAAAAAAGAAAAAAAAAACTGGCTCGACATGCTCGTGTTAACCTTTAAATATCAGCACTAGAGAGTCAGCAGGAGAACCTCTGAGTTTGAGGCCACCCTGGATTACATAGCGAATCCCAG